GTTTTGCTCCTCATTTCAGAAAAAGATATACATGTGCCCTATCAATGAACTTAACCAGTTACATTTGATGTGGCCAATCGATGACTACACAAGTATCTATAACGCCAGAGTGAGCTCATTTCTGTTGCGTTCGCATGATCTATAGTATGTGCTAGTCGGAAATCTATAATTTCCTTATCAACTTTTATTTTTGCTTTCGTGTAATATTGCATAGTCACTGACGTGATTTCCGGTTCGATCGCATGCTTCGTATTTTACTCCACATTGTGTTTCCTCACCCCATGCGTTTCTGCTCTTGTACTTTTGCTTCTTGAACGGATTCAATGAAAGCGGAATAATTCCTAGCTTAACTGAACGCTTACATACATGATTGCATGTAAAAAGACCGCTTTCCAAAACTGTCCATCAGTACTCCACAATTGGTCGTAACTCGCTGCAGAGTTGAGCACCATAAAATCAGTTCCCAAGCAACGTCGAAATACGACGAACCATGTTCGCATGTATGTATTCGTGTTATTTGCATTTGTATATTTGCGGCCGCCTTTGTGAATGTATTCCGTCGAATCTCCAGTTGGAGATGAGGTCAAGCGGAATTTTCGATGTGGATGACTTACGTCCGTGGATTGGCCATGATCATCCGGATAAACAAGAGGCAGTGGCTTTATTTAGTGGCGAGTCCCGTCTGCCACGTCGCAATGTTGTTAAACTGACCTTTGGTACTTCCTTTTAGAGATAATTCCATCCAAGTGAAAATCCACCACGTTCTGAAACATTGGAATGGAACCATTTACTGGATCGTTATAAACCCGAACAACCTAGCTGGCACCCGGGAGACGGTGTCGGCAAGCCAGTCCTGGCTGAGTACTTCTGGACCTGGTACTGCACTCGGTTTAATGAGCCCCTAATTCGGATGGTTGATGAAATGTCAACTTGGGTCCAACTTGAATGAGTAACTTGATTTCGCCGGGTGGAAATCATTCGTTTCCCTATTTATCAATTTTTAAAAACCCGATCTGTTGTCTCGTAGTTAAGAAATCAACATTGATTATCTTTTAGTCCACCCACTTCCAGCTGATAATTCGTCCATCATAAAGTTTGCACATCGCGTCGCCACTCCTTCTCTATCGATTTTATGTAACCTTTGAGTTCCTGTTGTTACTTTTAACACTTTATCCTTTGAAGTCTCGGGTCAGTCCATTTCTCTTTACCCACTATTTCACACCTCGTCATTGGGTTATATGTGGTTAACTGCATTTAGCTTTGCGAAGCCACTACAGTCAGCTGGACTATCTTCTCAGTGGGTATCTCATGCGTTGGGACAAATTCATAGGACTCGGCTCTCCTTCGGTATTTTTGAATTCTCCTTGACAGGTGCTTGTAATCTACCTGTCAGCCCACCATTTTATCCCCGTTTTATGGTGCTCCCAGTTGAACAAAAGGTCCCAGTACGTTCTCACTGTAGGTATCATGACTAGCTTAACTCAGGCCAAACTTTTTGATCAGACCCAGGTTCACAGTTCACTTAATGCTCTTACAACAACGTTATAGTTTTGTTTGCTCTCGCGTATTTTGGGTTTTCGAATAATGTCTTTTCTTCTCGCTCCTATGCCATCAATGGACAGCCTACGGCTTACGCCACCCATCTTCTTGGTCACGAAGGTCCCGGAAGTCTCCTCAGCCATTTGAAGAAATTAGGATGGGTGAATCGGCTGACGTGCGGCGTTATCCGCCCAGGGAAAGGGTTCGCCTCACTCAATCTCAGCATGGACCTGACTGAAAATGGCCTAGGTTAGTGATACTTGTCAGGTTGTCATGGGTTGCATTTTCCTGTTTACTCTCCAGTGTTTTCTAGTTTTTAAACTCTTGTCTTATTCAACATGTAGCTGTTACTTCAATTTCTTTTGATTTTCCCTATGTTCATACTGAGTTGCTAGGTGTATGCCAGTCTCGTCTAAGTGTATTTCCTTGATCTTAATGAAAAATGGTCTAGCCGTCCAACCTGTCTACATAGCAACATATCTATGCAACATGGAACCAAGTATCCAAACAACCGATTGCCTAGCGTCTTACTTGACGTCTGAAGAAACGTACCATGAATCCACTGCCTTGTCTGAGTTTATGGGACTGCCTTACGCTCGATTACAGTAATGCATTCCAAATAGGAAGCCCTATGGCGTTGTGCTACCCGTAAGCTCAGTCTGTGTGTGGATCAACTCGTAACTGAACTTTCAAGGTCAAACTTTTTACCTTTATGGTCCACCAATCCAACGGTGTTCGTCATTCTCCCTCCGTTCAATTAGGTCACGTGGATGACATCGTCACTAGAGTGTATCAGTATCTCCGACTGATCCGGTCGGAGGAGCCTCACGAATGGATCTTCTTGGAGAATCAAGTAAATACCAATCCCATTTTCATTCCTTATCTTGATCGTCAAGCTTCTCCAGCACATATACACTTTGGCTGCTGATCTGTCTTACAAATATACTCCTAAGTTGATTTCCTTATTCCAAAACATCAGAATTTTGTTTTTTAGTGGTGGAGAGATCTATAAAATAAATACTACCGAAAAATTGTGTGGGGTGATCCCTTCATAACTGAAAACACTTCCTAAATACAAAGCGTGTTTTCTGTTTGCACCTTGAGAAACAATTTTGTTTCAGAACAGGCTATCAAGGTTCACTTTTGCTTGACGAAGTGATAGCATGGTCGCATGCAGTTCGGGTAACACAATTTGGCATTATTCACTATTCAAGAGGCTTAGTACATTATTTAATTATTGCTTTTTTAATTATAGTGGTGCATTGTAGGCGGTGTTACAATGAAGTTCGGCTTTTGACTACGATCATAGGTTTTTATCCGTGTTCGACTAACGCATCCCAGGCCAAATTCATCACTATAACCACATTTGTAAGACCCCAATGAAAACAGCATGTTTAGCTTACCTGGTACCATCACAGTCAGATGGCATATTCGTTCATTTGCATTCATTTGTTGGCATAGAATTTCTCTTTTAAATTGCACTCAGTCTTCCATGTAGAACTACTTGAAAGTAGCACAATATAGTGCCCTGCGCTTCTGCGTCCCCTTCATGCGTTTTCGCAATGTCACGGGACACCACTCAGTCACCGCTGATACATGCATTCACTACCTATCTGTGATGATCGTTTGTTTGTGCTTAATCCCAGGCTTTGAACAATCTGCATTTTCGATTCAAAGATAAGGAGCAACCGTATGATTACGTGACTCAGTGCGCATCAAACATATTCGTGAGTCATTGCTACCTACGCACTATGTCTATTAGTTCATCTAACATCACTCATCTCACTGTTATTGCTACCTCTGCTTTTGAGTATGACGTACGGAGGGATACATGTTTCTGTTTATCTATCCACTTTAGGCACAAAGCTGGCGTACAGCACAATGAACCGCTTAGATCTGCAGTTACAGATTCTACCATGATTCAAGTACTGTACAACCGCGGTCCGGCAGTAGTTTCGATGTCCAAAATTGCCTGAGAAAAGTCCTGTAGTAACGACAACACTCAAAGACCTGCTAGCCCTAACATCTATGGGATGTATACAGCTGTTGTTCAGAGAACAGTCGCGCTTAGCTATGTGATCGAATAGCAGAATTCAAGACTTTCGACTAACCGCCTCACTAGTAACCATTTGCTATGAATAGGACTTATTTTCCTCATGTGCGCAACAATAGTTATATATTTCCTTCAATAAAATTAGATGCTAAACTATGTTATTTGGTCAAATACTTTTCGATCGTGTACAATATGCGGTCTGCTGCAACACTGTTCTCCATCTCTTTTAGTTTATTGGCCCTCCAAATTCCATTAACTGTTTATGTTGACAGTTCATTGGGGTTGTAAGTAACGGAACCATTCGGAAGTTCTTGTGTAACGCCTCTCCCCCGGTATGCATTCAAAAACAACGCATAATCAAGAAACGATACTACTGGCAAAACAGCTTAACACAACGTTTATTGCCCTTTAACCGCCGTCGTTAGCTACTATTGCTGTATCCCTGTAATGTTCTGCGTCATTTTCAATGCTTCTCACAAGCTAATACTACCTTGAAGTCCAGTCGCCTGTGCTTAATTTGGTATTGTCGTTAGAGTATTCATCACTTGGTTTTAGTTAATTGACTCCACTTTTATCGCATCACAACGTTTTAGCGATACGAACCACAGGATGTTCTGCGCGGACCATACGTACTCACATCGTTTCAACCACAGCTTATTAAAGAGGTTCTCGGCTGTCTTCATCCAGACAACGCGCGGTAAGCTGATTTGCAGCTGTTTGCGTTTAACTAATTTAATCACTGTCGCGTATGAGGTATCCAAAGACGAACACAGGAAAAGATCGAATGCGTTGGGTGCTGACGTCGGTACACGCGCTGCAACACCTCGAGAGAACGCCGCTGGCAACATGGCAACATGGTCACTCAGACTAAAATACTGGCGTTTTGTCTAACATAAACCAAGATAGTCATTTAAAAAGCCGTAAATCCTGTTGTCCACGATTCGGTGGCTTAGGAATAGTCGCTTCAGTTGACATCCCAGCGCCCCGTTTTGGAGCCTTATGACTGCTATCCCTAGCTGGACAGTGTATAGTTGTATAAATCTGTAGCGCCTATCATCTGTCTATTTGAATTACGATCCCAGTGACCGAATTGCCTGGACTTCACTTCAAAATGAAAAGCGGTCCAAGTTGAATTTACATGTCGCAGAACATTTACGCAACGAGTACGCCAAAATTGCATTAATTATTTGTGTTTTAGGTAGAACTTCGTCACATCTAGACTCACTCAGACAGTAGTCACACTCCCGGAAAAGCACTGTACGCGCGTTTCATCGTTTCTGGAATCGTCAGCAGTGCACATTCCATCGGACCCTGGTAGGGCTCTAACCCGCAACTCGACTGTTGCCAGTCCGTGGTTGAGACCGCTGAGCTACGGGGGACGGCAACGACCATCGTGAATAAGTTACCAGATGTGATATAGTGCCGCTCACTATCCACTGACTTGCACGTTACTGTCGTGCAGAGGACAGGGTAGCCCCCTCACCAAGCGACGAGCTTACCAAACTTAAGCCGCCAAATAACTTATGGCATTATAAGCAGTTTGGTCTGCGTGGTGATTACATTTCATAATTATGGTCAGGACCCCTCTTCAAATATTTTCAAAGCGAATCCTGATGCAGAATTTCGAGAGTCTATCCCCTAAACGTTTTCAGCTTACCCGTATCATTGATACTAAGATCTTATTTTATAGTGAGGTGTTCAGGAATAGCACGGCTACTCCAATTCAAGGGAGTATTTTCAATAGCAAATCACTTTGCTAGCAGCTCGTGAGCTTATTCATTCTCGGTAGGTGTAAGCTTAAATATGATCCGCCAGATTTAAGGCTCTGTGGGAGATTGAGTTCCAAAATATGACCAAATGCCTTGCCTCACTAGTCGAGTCCAAGCAACGCCACGCGTCCGCCTACTCATATTGGCGCAGCTGCTTCCCTCCATATGAGCTCACATGCCCCGATACATGAACTCACATACACAGCTAAGCGGACACACGCCCTCGCTTTCCCTGTGTGAAACTGTGCAGATTAATCTGAGTGAAAACTTTCATACGTCGCCAGTCTCGCTATATAACCGAGGCCGCGCAACAATAAATTCACCTATCGTCAGGCTGTTAAAGCACCCCTTTTCTCCCTTCTTCGGGTTCGGTGCGTTTGGGAAGCTGACAATTGTTTTACTTGCTCCAGCGGCAAAAATGTAAAGCAGAAATCAAGGAGTTGATAAAATCAGGTTAACTATGTCTGCATACCTATAAAAAGTCGTAAAAGGCATTCGTTTTTCATAAAGCTTAACAAAATACGCCACTTTGTGGCGTGATAATTAGGGTTAGTCGCCATATCTATGCTACAGTCTATTCATGGCGGTTGTGACGAATTTTCAGGTAGTGGTTCGTCGCTTGCAAGCATACAAACCGCGCGCTTGGGAAACAATACCCGTAAGACTCGCTTTAGAATTCATAGTGACCGTGTTGTTCATTCCGACGAGGCGTCGTTGCAACTGGGCCGTCATCTCATTCCTCAACCGCTTTCGCCCTACCGGTTCGGATTCATCCGCATCCGTACTATTCAAACATGGTGGTGAGACCCCTTGCCTAGCACCGAACCGCTTGTTTGGACAGGTTTTGGAGGAAGACACCTTTCCAACCAGGCTTGTCCCATTTCCCCATATTTGTTAAGCATTGTCGAGAACTTCAGCATGGAGTGTTCTCTTGTCAAATTTCACGATATTAGCATTGGAACGAAGCTTCATGAAACATTTTCTTATCTGGGTTAAACCCACTGTATCTGGTTGTTAATTGACATGCACGAGACGGCAAAGCCAACTCTAAAATAATTCCCCTCAGGGGTTACAACATTTGGTATTTTGCAAAGTGCCTCTTCAGGACCACCGTCCACTTGATAACCCTCTGACGCTTGATGATGAGGAACTATAAGCAGTTGGCAACTGCATTAGCAGCGATCGACTTGTGGCCTCTGTGAACTCTGGAAATGCGTTCTCGAATCTCCGACAGCCGTAACATCAGAAGGATTTCCCTCAGTCCAAGAGGTTGTGGGTAAAAGACCACAATGGGAACCGTCTTGGTCTATGGAATAATATGTCCGCTGAGGGTCCGACGTTTTCTAATGTGTGATTATGCTTATCTGCAAAACATTGCTGCGTCGGATGACACCAGTTCAATAGTGTAGGTTTGGGAAAAAATCAATCGCTTTACAAGACCCACAGGATGGTAAATACACACACAATGCACATCAAAATTTTCCGGCGCGGAACGCGAAATATCAGCAGTCTAGCCATGGCACTTTAGTACACTGTTGTGTGACGTTTCTCATTTAGGTGAAGGTTTAATATTCTTTCGAATGTCGCAAAGTTTGGGGGTGTTCAACACATGGGGTGGTAATGCATTCCGATGTGAACAGATTCTTAGCGCTCGAAAATTTACAATGCAACCTGGAGTGTTAAGTTGCTAGTTCCAGTTTTTGCCTCGGCATAGCTTGTAAGGTGCGAGCGTCAGCATTGTTTTACTTGGACAATCGTTTTCAGTTAGTATCCGATAGGTTAGAATGCGATCTCCGCAAATCCGTCGGTATTCTGAGGACAGCACACCGATTAAACGAAGGTGCAGTTAGTAACTGAGACCGGATAGTCTACGCGTTGTCTTGATGGCTGTACTTTGGGGCTGTTCCAACAGACGAGTGTCTCGTTTTAATCATGGACGTCAAGTTTGAATCGCATACTCAACGTGGGGACGAATATACGAGTTAATCATCAAAGGTACCAGCCGTCACTCAACGGCACCATGAGCTCGCCTCAAAAGTCTTAAGTTCATATTCTATACATTCGCTGTTTCCGAAGGCTGGAGCGAATTGCCAAGACTTTCTTGAACGATTATACCTGTCACTTTCACTAATCACATTTTGTAGAACGTGCTGCCCCAATAGGTATGGGTTGTCGGAACTGTTGCGCAGAGTCAGCAAGCGGCACTTTGTAACCAATTTCAAATGGGGGGATAGCGTATACGATTGTAGAACATTTTGTACTACTTACCTTGATTCAGTACACATATTGCGCGCAAATCTGCGTGCGATTTGAAGGGCTCTGAAACGGAACTGTTGTTGACTTGATGTAACCAGACTAACTGTTCAGTGGCCTCGGTTAAATTAGCAACAGCCACTGCCAAATAAATTACTCTGTGTTCCTATGAGTAGGGGATTTTTATGTAATTAATTTGCGAGTTCGTCGCACTACTGAAATCAAACACCGTTGGAGCTTCTTACGGCATGCAGTGCTAAATTCGGGTTATTCAGTCCACGGGTTAAGTTACACACACCTCCTCCCCCGAACGGTTGGATCTCTGCATGCTCCTTGGCATCTTTCGACCGCAGCCGATCTGTCCCATTAACCTCAGACCACTATGAACTTCACTGCATTGTCAGCCGACAACTCAAGCGAATCCTTCGCGACGATCTGAAATTTGGTGGTCTCAACGTGCATTAGAGATGGAAGTCGCCGTTCTTACTAGAAATATTCGATGGCTGTCCCAGCCCATTCGAACCTCTGAACACAGGAGGTCTGTTATTAGCAAAGTCACATGTGAGGCGGATAGGGCGCAAATCACTAACTTGCAGAAACTTAAAGACAGATGGGCTATGCATTTCCGATCGCTGATTACTTGCTACTCGCCGTCTACCCTTGCACACAGCACACCCGGTCTCATGTCATGGATGGTATGACTAGAATCACCCACTGAGCCGGAGGTTTCTCTTGTGGTCGGCCACCTGACAAGTTTGAAGGCTGCGGTCTGAGACAAACTTCCCCAAGGATTGTTCTAGTACGGTGGCACAGCAGTTGTCAGTCAGCTAATACCATTATTTCTGGATATAGCAAGAAGAAAAGGTTCCCCATTATTGTTGTAAGTCAGCAATTGTCCGAATCTTCGAGAAACATCCTTGTACTTCAAGCGCCAATAACAGATGTATCAAACTGACATTGGCTATCTCCAAATACTAGAACCATCATGCCGTATGTATGTACGTTGGGCTGAAACACTTACAGTATTTTAAGATGGATAAATTTTATTCCATCTTGTTTGGTATGTTTTGCCTACCGGAATAATCTTCTATTAACTGGTGAAGTTGCCTACGCTTATTATGCTTATATTCGTTAACTTTATTGCGTTTGCAGTATTTTTTGAGTGACTTTAGACCTTGTGCAATTATCGCCGATTTCTTGCTAACCAATTTACTTTCTTTGCTAATGTAGCCAAGAGTTATGACGGCATAGCCGTATACGTATATATATTTTATTTGGTAATGTCATCTCAAGTGATTGGCTGTTGCTTGATATCCCCGGTGTGGCTGCGCTTGATGTGCATGTTGACAAGGTGCCTACCTGTCTATTACCCACTACATCGTTCATACTGGCTCCAGGAGACAGTTGGTCGTTGCTGGAGGGGACGAAGAGCATGGTGCATGTGGCCGTGCTAGGCTCGAAGAGTGGTTCCATACACTCAGTGTGGAGCGGACTACGGTCCAGCCACCACCTTGTGTGCGCTTGGTTCCCCAAACACGGCGTGCTTGTGTTTGCCTGTGAAAGAGTGTGGGCCGGCTTCGTTGATGAAACGTGGCTCCTATCCACATGCCTCCCGATCTTATTCCTTCGGGTTTACACTGGATATCCATCATCATCATCATCATTACACGTTAGC